GTGAGTGAGTGAGTGAGTGAGTGAGTGAGTGTGTGTGAGTGAGTGAGTGAGTGAGTGAGTGAGTGAGTGAGTGTGTGTGAGTGAGTGAGTGAGTGAGTGAGTGAGTGAGTGAGTGTGTGTGAGTGAGTGAGTGAGTGAGTGAGTGAGTGAGTGAGTGTGTGTGAGTGAGTGAGTGAGTGAGTGAGTGAGTGAGTGAGTGTGTGTGAGTGAGTGAGTGAGTGAGTGAGTGAGTGTGGGTGAGTGAGTGAGTGAGCGTGTGTGTGTGTGTGAGAGTGAGTGTGTGTTGGATGAGCGATTGATGACACACTCTTTGTCTGGGCTTTTAGCTGCGGTGTTTGTGTGTGTTGTGTGTGGTTTGTGTGTTTGTCAGTGTTTGTGTGTGTTTGTGTCGTGCTGAAGGCTCTCAGGGGTTCGTGCGGCTCCAGTGTTTTCTCATCTCTCTAATGATGATGAAGAGTCGTTAATGACAGGCAGCTAATCAGCCGGAGAGCAACGGGAGTCCTAAACCAAGATGGGTGGAAGAGATGGAGGAGTTGATTTATATTTAATGATAGCAAGGATAATTACTCTGATTGAAGGATGTTCTTACTAGAGACTAGTGGACTTTCATTTATATATATATATATATATAGAGAGAGAGAGAGAGATGCATAATTTGATGCTATATATATATATATATATATATACAAATCATTACAAATACGGTATAATGTGCTTACAAATGTTTTAAATGTTTGCTAATTAATTTTGTATTTATATTTTTATATAAAATACATGATCATATATGAATCAGAAGTTTAATATCATTTGCAAGAATTTTAATGTTCATTCCTGTTAATCATTATGTAATGTTCAATAAGTTCATTGGTAAGCATTTACGAGCACATTATCTCATATTTGTAGCTATGTGAGTATAAATTAACTAATGATCTGTTAAGCATTATATAATGCTTGTTAAAGATTTATTAATGAAAGTTATTATTAGGAGTCAACAGAGTTTTTAAATATATTATTTAATAGCATTTTTGGGAGCTGTTTAACATGTTTGTGAATATTTTTTATCAAAATCATTTCACAGTTTTCCATTAAACTCTCACAGAAACGCTTCACCACACAGCATTGGTTTCAATCCCACAATCCCTTGCATGAACCATAGAGAATGAGCTGAAAACGGCCCGTCTTACCGTATAAAACTCGCTCGTCTGCACTGTGCAGTAAATCATGTGGTGTGTTGGGCTAAATTTAAAATCACATTTAGTCATTTACCGTTCTCACCGTACGGTTCGTAGGCACATTATCTTTCATTTTTCATCACTAGTGAGATTGCAGCCTTTACTAATGTAATTAAGTGCTGTGTGAAGAGTGGACGAGTGTGTGTCTGGACTCTTTCTTTCTCTTAGTGTGAGAATAAGGCTGCAGAGACACAGGTTCAGCTTCAGGGTGATGCAGTTAATGTGATGTAAGCCTCATTAGGTGAAAAGCGTCTGCTAAATACCAAAGCAACTTCATTTAGTTTTCCATCCTTTTCTCTAAAGATAACCCAGTCATTAAACATTGCAGTTATGGACAATCTGCCTGCAGTTTATGGCCCAGTACATCCAAATGGTTTTATGAGACAATAATTTGGGACATTTATTATTATTATTATTATTATTATCATTATGATTATTATCATCATTATTATTTATTTATTTGTTTATTAATTAATTTTTTTATCATTTTATTTGAATTAAAAAAAAAATAATTGTTTTATCTATTTTATTAATTTTTTTTATTTTATTGCATTTTGTTCTTATATTATTTTTTATTTTATTTTATTTTACTTTACTTTTATATTTTATGTTACTCTTTATTTTTATTTTATATTATTTTTATATTATATATTATTTTGTTTTATTGAATTTTACAGCACTTTGGTGCAACATTTGTGGTTTTTAAATGTGCTTATAAATGTACGAACTTGAACTTGATTTTGCTTATTTTACTTTTTTAATTGTATTTTGTTTTTATTTTATCTATTATTTTATTATTTTATTTTACTTTTTACTTGTTTATTTTGCTTTTATTTATTTTCTATTTTATTTACATTTTATTTTTGCATTTTTTTATTTTATTTTACTCCGTTTTAGTTTTAGTTTTATTTATTTTTTTATTTTTTTTATTTTTTTTTTTACATGTTGTAGTTTTTGCATGCTGAATTGCTGGTGGTTGCCAGAGCGTTGCTGTGCGGTTGATAAGGTGATTTGGGGGTTTTCTAGTGTATTCTGGGCTGGTGTTAAGTGGTCACTTGATAGTCCAAATCAAAAGAGCCTCAAATCTCTATAATATTCGGTTCTAATAGTCTCTTGATATGACTCACTTTAGCACTTAGGATAAGGCCTTTGTTTAAAGCCTCAACCGTTAGTAAGAGTAATAATCAGCAGTACTAATAACAGCACACAGTCTTTACCACCAAAGCAACACCTCAAAACATCAGCCTGAGGTGTGTGGCTTCCCTCCGTCCTTGGCTTTTAATTTGCTTTGCATTCAGAGCCCCAGTGATAGCCGACAGCATTTAAAAGGCAGTACTGCTGCGCTCATTAAAGCTCGCCGGTCTCCAGCCCTACATTTCACTGCCACACGTGACGCGTTTGCCAATGAACTGCTGCTGTCTGACAACTAATCACAGGTTGTTTTCTTCCCATTAACCTCCCTCTCTCTGCTCCTCTACCTTTATTAAACGCTCCCTGCTCTCCATCTTAATCTACGTGTCCTCTTCTCTTCTCTCTCCCTCCAGGAGCAGTCAAGGCTTCATGCACATGAAGCTCTCCAGGACCAAAGACAACAAGTACGTACTGGGTCAGAACAGCTGCCTGTTCGACAGCGTTCCCGAGATCATCCACTTCTACTCCAGCCGCAAACTACCAATCAAAGGGGCCGAGCACATGTCCTTGCTGTACCCCGTGGCCATTCGGACACTATAGAGGCAGAAACGCTGCCGAACCAGGACATTTGTTCAGCGTTTACAAGACATCGACAAACTAAAGTGCTACTGAGATCCCGAAGGCAAAAAGGGAGACTCCTGGAAGCCTCATTCGTCTCGTCTCGAGGAACGCGGTTTCTCTGTCCTTCAAATGCCTTCTTCATGATTCCAAACCCGTTTTCTCCCTTTTTCTTCACATAAGTGGATCTTTAGTCTTAGACCTGCACCCACACTTTATCTCCGCTGTTACACACTGTACAGAAACACGAAATGTTGCTCGGACTTTACCTTTCGGATGTTTATAGTTACGATTTCTGGACATGTGAATCATTAGACATTCTTGAACATTAAAACGCCACAGTAAACGGAGAACAAAGACACTGAATCATACTGTAGCGAAACCTCATCGTCTGGACTTTCTGTGACGATATTGTCAATCAGTTGGGTTCGGTGAAATATTAGCTAATCATTAAACATGAACATTTTCAGATCATACAGAAAAATAAACCCCAGAAGACTGAAATCGAGCATTCAGCATTTTCCGGTTAGACCCACAGATGTGAAGAGTAATCGCTACGCAGACAGATCATTAAGTTCCTTAAAATAGCAGTAATAGCGCAGAGCGAGAGGAGAAGAGATGGATGGTGCCATTTAAGTGCACTTGGACATGCAGATCAGCGTGAAAAAGGACCTTTTAATTTAATGTTCAAAGAGAGTCACTTCATACACCAGAGTATAGGATGATCTTGAGCAAGGAGAATGAAATATTCCTGTATTGTCTACCTCAGAAAATCAATTTCGTTCGTCCATCCGCCGGTCGATAAGGTACAGTGACGTTGAAGATATCGATCGTCTCAAGTTCCCACCAAATTTTGCCTTTTGGTTTGAGAATAGCTTCTTCCTTGACCCTGATTTCTATGCTGTTGTGACTCTGTTTGGTTAATGCCTTATACTGTAAATGCATGGATTAAAAAAGAAAACAAATGGAGAACGCTGTCGTTCGATGAATGTTTAGTGGCTGTAATTTATTATGGAGAAAAAAATAATGCTATTGCTGATGTTTTAGTCCAGCTAAGACAATGTTCTTGGCCGGTGTGTGTGTGTGATATATCTGACCTTTATAAAGTGTGTCATATATCTGACGTGTCTTCGCGATTGTCCCCACCTGAATACTCTGATTGGATGCTGCTTGCCATGGAAACCATTTAGAGCAGTTCAGCCAATCAGAGCGCAGATTTGTCCTGACCCTTCCTCTGACCTCTGGTTTTCCTCATTTGCCATCGTCCGGTTTCTTTCGTGTCATTGTTTTTCTCTCTCTCACTCGGCGTGTTTGTTTAAAGCATGATGCCCGACACAGTTGTGTTACGGATATAAAGCCTGTGTGATTGGATTACTGTCAATCCTTGTGTTTCATTCTTGTTTTCAGTTTTCAGTTCATCGTTTCCCTCTCTGATACAATTTCTGTATTCCTTCAACCCTTAAAGGGACAGTTCCACCCAAAAAATGAAAATTGTCATCATTTACTGACCTTCATGTCATTATTTTGCTGAATGTCTGTCTTTGGCTGTTCTTCTCCATACAGTGAGAGTTAATTCAGAAGAGTTAATTCAACTTCAAAAATATCAAAAATCACCCAAAAGGTATCAAAAAGTATCATAATACTAATTTTGAATATGCAAGAAATACACAAAAAAATTGAGAAATATTATTACAATTTCAAACAGCTGTTTTCTATTGCGAATATCTGTTATAATGTAATTTATTTCTGTGATGCGCAGCTGTATTTTCAGCATCATTACTCCAGTCTTCAGTGTCACATGATCTTCAGAAATCATTCTAATATGCTGATTTGCTGCTCAACAAACATTTCTGATTATTATCAATGTTGGAAACAGTTGTGCTGCACAATATTTTTGTGGAAACTGTGATACATTTTATTTTTCAGGATTCACAGATGAACAGAAAGTTCAAAAGAACAGCATTTATTTGAAATAGAAATATTGTGTAACATTCTAGTAACATTGTAACATTGATAAAAAAAAAAAAAAACCCTGATCCCAAACAGTAGTGTAGATGACCTCAAAGCTAACTGGCTAAATGGACATGGAGTAAAAACTCTTAAATCTCATTCATGTACATTTAAATATGCCGTATCAAGATGCAAATTGTTTGAAAATGCATGTTTGTGAGTAAATGACAACAGCATTTTCACTTTGGCCTGAACTGTCCCTTTAAAAGATTACAAGTTAATGAGGATCGAGGTAAATCTGTATGAAAATCCCAACTGTCATGCATTAACACTCCAACATTTATTCCTAGACTAACTTCTCCATGACATGCACCACGCTGTGCGTCCTTCATGCCTTTACACTGAAATGTCAAACTGTGAATGCTCTCCACAGCATCTCATTATAAACTGGTGTAGGTATTTTCCAGTCATTCTGTAACTACTAAAATGCCTTTGTGTCTCTGTCAGATGGGCTCAGGAGAGAGAGAGACTGTTTTACATGCCGTTCAGTAGAAACATGCTTTAATAAGAGAGCAGAGAGCACCGGTCAGTGCACTCACACACTAACTGATCCATTCGAAATGAATATGAGAAGAAAACTTAGACCTGAGAATTAATCTGTGCAGTAAAAGTCATACATTTTTAATCATGAGTTAGCTGTCAAATTATTTTAAGTTTGTTTTAGGACTTTATGTTATGGATTGAAAATCCAGATTATTGGTCATTAAACATTCAGATTAAAAATACCATTTCTATGTATTATAGGCAAACAGACGAGATCAGGCGTGTTAGACAGTTGTTTAGAAGAGAATGAAATGTTGGGAGATTCTGAACATCTTGGGAACGACAGAAGAGTAAAATAAATGAGTAAAACACCAGAGGAACTAGAGAAAAGAGGACAGAAATGAAGACTGAAGGATGAGGGAGAGGAATGGAGGAGAGCGGATCTCTGTCTGTAGCTGTGTGTGTGTGTGTGTGAGTGCTGTTCACTTTAATTTGACCAAACCTTTAGTGTAACAAGGAGGTTTTAGAAACATACAGCAGTTCCAGTCCTCAGATTTGATCGGCTGAGCATCTGTGTGTTGCTCGAGACACACAACTACCGGCCAGTTTTCATCTGAAACGTAAGATACCTGATATTAATTACCTGCTTACTGAACTGTTGTATAAGAAATACTTCACTCACAGTCGAGTTGAAATGACATCACAGCAAACTTGATTATACTTAAAAATTTAAAGCATCAACTGAGCGCATGTTTTTATGTTGAATTAGGTGGAATATTTTAACAAAGCTTTCACTGCTTGAAGTCAGAATATAAAAAGACTTGGAAGTTCTTGAAATATTGATGGGAGGCTTAAAGGATGAATTTGTAAATACAAAGCGGTTTCTTTGTAAAATGATCAATATAAATACACTGACATTATCTGTCACCATAGCAAGAGCTGATTCTCCTGTCAGTCAGTACAGTGTGTGTGTGTGTGTGTGTGTGTGTGTGTGTATTTGCAAAAGCAGATAACTCTGTTCCTAACAATTTTCAAAAATCATGTTTTTTTATTGTGCATTCCATTTAATCTCAATCAAACTGCAGTTGGGTTATTTTGATCAGGTTAAAAAATAACTACAAAATACAGCTAACTAACACAATAAAACACAAAAACATGATTTTTGAAAATTAAAAATTTGAAAAAACATGATTTTTGAAAAAAACAAAAAAAACGGAGTTATCTGTTTTTGCAAATAAACTCTTCATATATATATATATATATATTTATGCTTAGAATTATAATTGCAATGATTGTTGTCATTTGAGAGATTCATTTTTACATTGCAGGTATTGCACTTTCACCAATAAGCACAAATCAATAGAATGTGGACTCACACACATGGTTTATTTTACATCATTATAGGCTATTTAATTATCAAATATTAAATTAATATCAAAGACTTAGATATGCACTCTCTCTGTGTACATTATGAAAACTGGTAAAAAACAAACAAAAAATATTATAACAGTGAAATTCCTAATAGTAACTCCAATAATTCCAAATTGCAATAATGTTTCTCTATTAAAACAACAGCGGGTGAGTAAGTGCATTTATTCAGCAAACACAATCACAAACTAAATAGTCGAGATCTGGTGACAGAACACAGACCGGCTGAACGACACTTTCATTTAAAGGGATAGTTCACCTTCAGTTGCTGGTCTCCATTGACTTCCATAGTATGGAATAAAAAAAAAAACACTGTGTAAGTCAATGGGGACCAGCAACTGAAGGTGAACTATCCTTTAAGCTGAACATCTCACATAGAGATCGCTAAACTCTGTTTTTCAGATCATCGTTGCAGTGAAGAGTGAGCGTGTGTGCATGGTTGCCAGATTTAAAAAAATAGCCAAAACACTGGTCAGAAAATGTTTTCTTTTAACCTATTAACCTCTGATTTGGGGATTTGAACTCCTGATATCTGGCAACCGCACACATGAGTACAGCAGTCCGCAATAATATTTTCTCTCTTTTTTCCCAATGAAAATAAGATTTTGGTATAGTTTTTTTTATTTATTTATATATTTTAGTCTCATCTTTTATCGTCAGCGATATTGCATGTTGATATAGTCACAGTTATCATTTATTGACCTTACTGTCATCTCATTTTAGTCCTGGGAAAATCTTTTTTTTTCGTCATAGTTTTCGTTAACGAAATTAACACTACTGCTGTGCTTTTATTAAAGGTGTTTTTTAAGCCATTGCTGAATGTTAACAGAGAAGCTGCTTTATGAGGAAGATGTTATCAATGTGAAAATGACAATTTATGCTCCTTTTCGTGTGACATAAATGCCGTGAGGTGAGAGAATGACAGGGCATCAGTTGCGAAACCTCGTGTGGTGAAATCGGTTTAATCACCGGATGGATTGTATTATTAAAACCTGTTGCACAGGACGTGTTCTCGCTTTTCTAGTCGAGCCTGTATGAGTGATTCAGCAACCAGAGAAGTAGAACTGATTTACTAGACAAGCACATAAATCCAGCCGAGGTTTGTTTGTTCGTTCTGTCTGTCTGTGTTTGATTCCCTCAGCAGACAGAGCAGACACAATCTCACAGTAAGATCTGATGTGAAAAGGAACACTGTTATTCATCAAGGACACATTAAACTGATCAAAAGTGACAGAAATCTTTTGTAACATTGAATGACGTTACTGTTTCAAATAAATGCTGTTCTTTTGAACTTTGAATCCTGAAAAATAAAACTAGCTGAAATAAAACTTTTTTTTTTTTTTAGGGTATTAATTTTAGTTTTATTTGACTATAATAACCCTGCATTAGTATATTTAGCCTATCAAATGTGTTATAAAGATGAAGAGTGCTGTAGCGAATCAGCTCATGGGGAAATATGAATAATTAATCATAACTAGTTATAATTAATTATAAATATTTAGATCCGCTGTAGATATTTACTTGACCTCTCAGGGTCAACTGTCTGTCAATTCTAAGAACGTTAATTTCCTGGTTAAGGGAAATAACTTTCTTACTGTACAATTCTACAAAGAGCTTGTAGCATAAATCTGCATGATAAGGGACTCCAGTTATGAGCAAACAATGAACAACATCAAGTGTGATACAAGTAAGACTTTATTAACTACATAAACACTTAAACTAGTCCAACATACTACATAAACACTTAAACTAGTCTAACATACTACATAAACAATTAAACTGGACTAACATACACATAAACACTTAAACTGGTCTAACACACACACAAACACTTAAACTGGTCTAACATACACATAAACACTTAAACTGGTCTAACATACACATAAACACTTAAACTGGTCTAACATACACATAAACACTTAAACTGGTCTAACATTGGAACCAGGGGCCTGTTCGGCTTCCTGGGGTGTTACGCATCTCGGGGGAAGGGTCCATAGGTCCTCATATGGCTTGTTAACTGAGGGGTGTTACAGAGTATTTGTTAAATATAGCTAACAAAATATATATTGTGTGTTTGATTGGTCCAGACGCTACAGTGCTGTGTGATCAGACCCAGATCAGGAGATGTTCACTCAAGCATATGATCACATTACTGTAAAATAATCTCATGAATCTCGTGTAAAGTGCTGACTGCTGATGTGTGATGTCATGAAAAAAGGTCTCCATAGCAACTCTCCTGAAGATGCGATATATAGGTAATGTTTATTTATGAATGAAGAGAAAGGCCGTGGATTAGTAGCAGTTCACTGTGTCTTGTTTACTGATGCATGTTTGTCTGATGTCTTTACAGCCGCTGTCGAGCAGATGGAAACACACGGCATCAGGAAACTACATACAGGTGTGTGTGTGTGTGTGAGAGAGAGTGTGTGTGTGTGTGTGT